GCCTCTGGTGCAGCTTCCATGAGGATGACTAAACTGCTGCTGCTGCTGCTGCTGCTGCTGCTGCTGCCTGGCTGTAAGGGGAATTGTTGAGGTAGTTTCACAGCAGCAGCAGCACAAGCGTCTTGTGCTGTTGGTGCTGCTGCTGTTCCTGCTGCTGCATCGCTTAAAGCTAATACTGCTGACTGTGCTGCTGCCATATTTGCTTCACTTTCTGATGCTTGCTTCTCTGAAGCAGCAGCAGCATCAGGAGCAGCAGCAGGAGCAGCATCAGGAGCAGCAGCAGGAGCAGCAGCTGGAGTAGCAGCAGGAGCAGCAGCAGGAGCAGCAGCTATACTTCCCTCAGTCGGGTTTGTATTAGAAGCAGCTGATGGATCGCCACTTGCTGCTGCTGTTGTTGTTGCTGCTGCTGGGTCTCCGTTTGCTGCTGCTGCTACTTCAGGAGCAGCAGTAGCAGGTGTATCAGCATCAGCAGCAGCAGCAGCAGCATCCTCTGCTAGCTGCGCAGCAAGTTGTATTGCTGCTGTTGAACGCGAAGCCAATGTAGCTGCTGCAGCAGGGGTATTACTCATAACAGCAGCAAACATTTCGTCTGCTTCTGCTGCTACTTGCTGCTGCAGCCTTATCTGCTGCATTGCTTTTGCTGCTGCTGCTGCACCCAGCCGCAACCTCAAACTCGAGCGAAGCTGCTGCTGCGCCTGTGCTTCAACTTCAGCAAACGAACCTGCTGGTGCTGCTGCTGGTGCTGCTGCTGCTCGTGCTGCTGCTGTTGGTGCTGCTGTTGCTGCTACTTGCAGCTGAGAAGGGGTTGCTGCAGCAGATAAGACAGCAGCAGAAACAGGATCATGAGCAGCAACTGCTGCTGCATATGGCGCTGCAGCTGCTGCTGCTGCTGCTGCGGGCTGTGGGATAGGCGGTGTGGCTGTACCTGCACCTGCTGCTGCTCCTGCTGCTGCTGCTGCTGGACAAGCAACATTTATTGCGTTGCATGCATCAGCTCCCATCGTGAGAGTCAAAGTATTCGTCTGCAGCAAATAAAACAAAATATAAAGATAAATAAATAAATATATATATTATATATATTATACACTCATTCAGACACGCAACAGCAGCAGCAGCAAGATAGCAGCGGTAGCAGCAGCAGTAGCACCAGAAGCCGCAGCGGCAGCAGCAGCAGCAGCAACGGAAGGAGCAGTAGCTACAGCAGCAGCAACAGCCCAAACAGCAGCAGCAGCAGCAGCAGCAGCAACAGCAGCAGCAGTAACAGCAGCAGCAGTAACAGCAGCAGCAGCAGCAGCAACGGCAGGACCACAAGCTACAGCAGCCGCAACAACAGCACTAGCAGCCGCAGCAGCAGCAGCAGCAACCGTAAGAGCAGCAGCAGCAACCATAAGAGCAGCAGCAGCGACAGCAGCAGCAACGAACCGAAGAATCAAAATTAACAGCGCTGGGTTTGCTGCTGCTGCTGCTGCTGCTGCCCTGCCAGACACTGCACACCAACGCTGCAGCAGCATTTTTACAGGAGCAGTCGCTGATGGCAGCAGCATATGTTTTTGCTGCTGCTTCTGATGCAGCTGCAGCACACACAAATTCACACGCAACAACAGCAGCAGCAACGCATGCAGCAGCAGCAGCAGCAGCAGCAGCAGCAGCAATCGCTACTGCAGAAAATGCAGCAGCAGCAAGAGCAGCACAACACCAGAAGCAGAAGCAACTGCAGCCCCAGCACCAGTAAAAGCTACGCTAGCCGGAGCAGCAGCAGCAACAATAACAGCAGAAGCAACAGCAACAGCAGCAGCAACAACAGCAGCAGCAGCAGCAGCAGCAGCAACAGCATCTCCACTCAGCATCCCTCCTTACCATTGCCGCCGCATGCACTCAAGTCGAGCTGGCATGACCCATCAGGCTGCTGCTGCTGTTGCTGCTGCTGCTGCTGCTGCTGCTGTTGCGGCTGTTGCTGTTCTGATTGTTGCGTCTGTTCCTGTGGTTGTTGCGGTTGCTGCTGCTGCTGCTGCTGCTGCTGCTGCTGGTCTTGCTGCAGTCCTTGAGGTTTATTTTCACCTGCTTCTAAAGAAGCTGATATTACTTGAGGTATCGTCAAAGGGTACTGAGGCGGAGTAGCAGAAGGAGCATTAATAGCTGGCAGTACACCCGAAGGGGGTATGGGCACTGACAAAGGGCCTATAGCAGAAGAAGGAGGCTCGTCGTGCTGCTGCTGCTGCAGCTGCTGCTGCAGCTGCTGCTGCAACAGCTGCTGCTGCTGCTGCTCCTGCTGTAGTAGCAACGCACTAACAGCGTCATCTTGAACATTTCCCCCTCCAGATACACCTACAATTCCTGCTGCTGCTGCTGGTATTGCTGCTGCTGCTGGAACTGCTATTGCTGCTGCTGGTACTGTTGCTGCTCCTCCTGCTGCTACAGGAAACGGAACAGCTGCAGCAGCAGCAGCTGCTGCTGCTGCTGCTGTCTCAGATGCCAGCTGCAAGTCAATTGCGGCTTTCTCCGCCTGAAGCATCATCAAATTCGCTCGATCTAAATCCCCCTGCTGCAGCAGTTGCTGCTGCTGCTGCTGCTGCTGCTGTTGCTGCTGCTGCTGTTGCTGCTGGAGTACCTGCTGCTGCATCTGCAGAAGGTCTTGCCCACCCTGTACAGCTGGCAGTGCCATCTGTGGGGTTGGCTGCTGCTGCAGCTGCTGCAGCGGCTGCAGCGGCTGCTGCTGCTGCTGCTGATAGTCTAACTGAATGAGAGATGCCCCTGTAAGCCCAACGGGAAACGCCATAGCCTTTGCTTCCTCGAATGATTCTGTAGCAGGAAGACCACCATCAAGAGCTTTTTCCTGCTGCTGCTGCTGCTGCTGCTGCTGCTGCTGCTGCTGTTGCTGCTGCTGCTGCTGCTGCTGGTGTGGCGGCTGCTGCTGCTGTGCAGGGGGCTGAAGGGTAGACTGCTGGTGAAAAGAACGATGCGCAAGTGCTGGTGCTGAAGCCACAGACAGCAGCAGCAGCAACAGCAAAAGTGCTGCTGCCCCTGGCAGCAGCAGCCGCGGCCGGCGTTGCGGCAACGGCATCTTCAATGGTTATACACGCTGCGGAGTATCTTTCTTCTTCTGCTGCTGCTGCTGCTGCTGTTGCTGCTGCATGCGAGTGAGGAGAGAGGGGGAGGCTGATAAAGGCCTGTAGCGGCCGCCACAACTGCAGCAGCAGCACACCAGCAGCAGCAGCAGCAGCAGCAGCAGTAGCAATGAATGAGGCAGCAGCAGGAGCAGTAGCAATGAATGAGGCAGCAGCAGCAGCAGCAGCAACGAATGAGTCAGCAGCAGCAACAAATAAGGTGTGTAGGAGCTAACAAATGGTGAAGCACAGCAGCAGCGTGGCCTTAACTAAGAGATGTAATATTAATGCTGCTAGAAGACTCTCGAGCAGCAGCAGGAGGTAGACAATGCATGCATTTAGGAAGTGAGTTGAGGGCTCCTATAATGCCTTTTGAATCAATAAAAAGTAAAAAAGTTATCATATATACGGGAGAATATTGCTGTATTAGCACGCGTTGTGTGCAGGGGCTGACAGCCAGCAGCTGCTGTACACTCTGCTGCTGCTGCTCTAGCAGCAGCAGCAGTGCTGCTGTTTGCATAAGGCGATTGAAACGAGTAAATGAAAACACTAGAAAATAACTTACGGTGTATACTCAACTTGGAGAAAAAACCTGGGCTAGCCGAGAGGCTCGGAGGGAGCAGGGGAGCTGCAGCGCTCCGCTTGAAGGAAGAAAAAGCTTTCTAAGTACGAAAGCGTGGGGATTAACTCATGAAAAAAAGGAAAATAATGAAATAATGCAAAAGAAGATGGAAAATAGAAGAGAAACGAGGAGGAGGCGGCTGCGAACAGACCGCGTAAGACCGGCGCTCTATCGTGTGGATATTGAGTGTCGATATGAGCAGCACTGAGAGGAGATAATCGAGTAATTATTTGTTTCTGAATCATTAGAAATATAATATAATATAAACGGGGAGTTTAAAACAACCAATTCTGACTTTTTTCCAGAAGAAAGCATTCAAGTTTCGCTGAAATTCAAATTTCTCCTGCTGTCGATACACCCGAAACATTCAACTATTACTTTCTGAACGTAGAGGAACCTTGAGTGTTTATTTTCGTTTAAAAACAGCAAAATATTAATTTAAATTCAATTTTAAAACCTTCTATTTCAATTTCATTAGCTTTCCTACTTTTTCTTCTGTACTTCCACCAGAAGGAAAGCAGCACAAACAACCGACCATTGATTGAATCGGAATCTTCTCCTGCTGAGTATACACTAGAGTCTTAATATTTTCTTAAGTAAGCAAACAATCAATTATTAATTTAACTGTAAATCCTTTATTTTCTCCCTTTTACTCTTCTATTACCCTCCATGCCTTCACTAACTCTATCAATTTATTCAATCCATTCAACATCGCACACAGATGTCTACAGCCATTTCCTCTTTAAACGAAAATCTAGACGCAAGAAGTTCGCACTGGCTAGCGCATGCAGGCACAGCTGCTGCTGCTGCTGCTGCTGCGGCAGCAGCAGCAGCAGCAGCTGTGCCTGAGGCTGCTGCTGCTGCTGCTGCTGGTTGAGTTGCGGTTGCTGCTGCTGCGGCAAGAAACTAAAAAGTCTGCATCGCTCGCTGCAGTGCAGACAGCAGACGCAGACAGCTGAGCAGGGCCTAACTAGACGGATGACCTACAGTTGGTTGATAAGAACCCTAAACCCTAAACCCTAATCTACGGTAGGGGGAACAACTAACCAAGTCTTTTGAGCAGCGACGCCCAGCATACAACAACCAGCTGGCTAGCTAGCTAGCTAACTAGCTAGCTAACAAGCTAGCTAACTAACTAGGGTGATAGCTAAGAGCTAGCGCATGCATGCATTTATAGAAAATGCTGCTGCAGATTATCCAACCTGCTTCCTCTCGGTTCGAAAGTGCTGCTACTGGGCGCATATAAACCCTAAACCCTAAACCACAAACCCTAAACCCTAATCCACAAACCCTAAACCACAAACCCTAAACCCTAAACCACAAACCCTATCAGTAAAGCGGAATACAGCGGTCTATAGAAGCGGCAGCAACAGCCGTAGCAGCGTCAACAGCAACAGCAGCGACAGCAGCAACAGCTCCAGCAGCAGCAGGAACTGCAGCAGCAGCAGGAACTGCAGCAGCTTGTAGTAGGATTTGTTCTGTTTATATTTTTGTATTTTCTTGATATATGTACATACTATCATCACCACCTCTTGCTGCATCTCTGTCTTTTCTAATTAATAATAAACAAATAAACAAATAGATAAATAAACAAACGAGTAAACAAACGAACAAAAAATAAATAAATAAATAAATAAGGATGACTAACTAAAAAAACAAATAATAAAATAAATTGGTGTTGGTTTGAATTTAAGGGTTTATGTCTGCATTTTCTTTTGTGTTTTGTTTTGTTTTACATGTATTTAAATACTCTTCTTTTAATGCAGCTAATGTAGATTTATTTATTTTAATCTTTAAACATGTCTCTATTAAAACAGATGAAGACAAACTGCCAGGCGCTGTCTTCAATAAACTCAAAATTTCTTCGAACGAACTCCGCAGCAGCGCTGTCTGCATGCAGCAGCAACACAAATAAATAATTATAATAATAATTATTATATATTATATATTATATATATATTATATATTATTATTATTATTATTAAATATAATAAGAAATAATAATAAATAATAATGAGAAGCGACAGACTGGATATTTCAAATGCAAACAGAAAAATTAAATTAAAGAGAAAATAAATAAATAAATAAATAAAGATAAATATAAATAAATAAATATAAATAAATAAATACATATAATTAAATATAAATCAGTGAAGGCAAACCAACTAAAACAAATAAACAAATACTAAACAAAAAGAAATAAACGAAAAGCAACAAACAAAAGGAAATAACAAAATATAGACAAAATCAAATAAACAAAATAACAAACAAAACAAACAGATATAAAATAAATAAATTAATAAATAAATAAATAAATAAATAAACAAGTAAACAAACAAACAAACAAACAAACAAACAAACAAACAAATAAACAAATAAACAAATAAACAAACAGCCAAGCAACGACAACCCGAAATAACCGAAAACAAACAAAACTAAAAACAATAAACTAAAAACAAATAAAACTAAAAACAAATAAAACTAAAAACAAACAAAACAATTAGAGAAACAAATAAATAAATGAAAATAAAACAAATAAAACAATGAAAATAAAACAAATAAAACAATGAAAATAAAACAAATAAAACAATGAAAATAAAACAAAAACAAAACAAAGAACAAAACAATAATAAAAACAAACAAAACAAACAAACTAAAGACTAAAAACTAAAAACTAAAAACAAATATATTAAACCTCTCATGTCTATATCTTACCTGGTATATCTTTAGAATAGCGAGAGGTATCTGAAAGAGAATTTTTTCGCCTTTAATAAATAACAGTGTCCAAACACTTACAAGAGTTTTTATATTTAAAATATACGCAAACAAAGTTAACAACCAACCCGATAAATACATTGAAGGCTCGACGCCTTCGCTTGCTAAATGAGCACTCAGCCTAACATACATACACAAATATATATATATATATATATATATTCATTTTTTATATTTATACTGGTTTATATATATGTATATATATTTATATTCGCTAGCTAGGAGAATACTTGATCTAATAAACAGACACACAAATCATCATCAGCAGCAGCAGCAGCAGAGCAACAACAACAACAGCAGCAGCAGCAGCAGTGTATTTGTTACAGCAGCAGAAACAAAAACAACAGCAACAACAACAGCAGCAGCAGCAGCAGTGTATTTGTTACAGCAGCAGCAACAGCAGCAGCAACAACAACAGCAGTAGCAACAGCAGCAGCAGCAGCAGCAGCAGCAGCAGCAGGAGCAGCAGCAGCAGCAGCAGCAGGTGTACTGTCTGTTACTTTGGGAGATGGGTTTGCAAGAGGTGTTGAAACTGAAAGAAATATTCGTCAAGCAAAGGAAGGCCTGGGCTGTACATCGTCTCAAGGTCAAATTTATTTAACAAACAAACAAAACAATAAAATGCTGCTTCTTCTCGTAGATGCAGCAGCAAAACACCGCATACAAAACCCATGCCTTGGCAGTACCCTGCGCATAGTGTACAAACAATTATTTTATTATTTTATTATTTTATTATTATTTACTTATTTAATCATTCAACTATTATCTAATTAATTATTTATTTAATTATTTAGTTTATCATTTAATTTGTTTGCTTGGTTGTTTATTTATTTATTTATTTATTTATCTGCATATTACAAATATATATGTATAAATATATATGAATTCGTTTAATATTATTTGTTTGAGCCTTATTGTTGTTAGTATTATGCATATATATATATAAGTATTATATATATAAGTATTATATATATATATATATACATATACTTATTTATTTATATATTTATTATTATCTGCGGTGTATATACACCTCACCAACTGCTGGGTTGTATGTCGCATAAGCCCGCAGCACTTTAAACAGAGCCTGCAAATAAAAATATAGATAAAAATAAAAATAAAAATAAATATAAACATATATATATGTATAGTGTATTATATATATACACTATATATTCATTTAGATGTTTGTATGGTGAATATATATAAGATAGATAATATATAAATAATATACATTAGATTATATATATTATATTATATATATTATTATATTATATATATTATTATATATATTTATTTATGTAGATGTTTGTAAGGTGAAAATATGATAAAAATTTTATTTGTTGTGCATTCATTCATTTGGTTCTTCTCTCTACTTAGATAAATAAATATATTTATCTGTCTATCTGTCTAATAATAAATAATATATATATATACATATATATTTATATATTAACATTAGTATTAGATAGATAGATAGATAGATAGATAGATAGATAGATAGTCTCTGAATAAACAAACAATCTAACTAACTATCAACCGAATACTAAACCTAAACAA